CCCCAAAACCCCAAAACCCCAAAACCCCATCTTCTAGGATATTTTTATAAAAATTAACTTCGAATATTAAGATCGTTAGATAAATTATAAATTGCAAAAATAAAATGCCGAAAGCTGAAGTCAAAATAATAGATCTGCCTAAGCAGCAGACAAATACTATATAGTCAAAATAAAATAGTTAAACTAGATCTAATCTTTAGCATCACAACTAAATACTTGATTACTAAGCTGCTCATAATAACAATCAATTCAGTTTTCATCCTCCGTAGTAATTTGAAAGAAAATCTAGCTTGAAAGGTTTTTAATAAATGTCTCAACTTAAGAGTTCAAATAAGAATAGTATTAACTCAATGTCTAACCTTAATTAAAACCATGATCACAGATAAAATTAGATTCAGCAGGATGTAATTTAGTAAATTATACACAGGTCTTAAAACTAGAAAGATCACAGAATAGTAGATAACTATGAGGTAGACTTGTTTTAATTATCCAATCAGAAACCGATGTAAAGATCCATTATTAATAGCCCAAACGCAGAAAATAGATTAAAAAATTACTTGAACCCTCCTACACTTTAAGAAATCGATGAATAAAGCAGTCAAAACGATTTCAAGAATTTTAGAGCTAATTTTTAGGGAGTAAATACTCAGAATTTTCAAGGGAGAGGGATGTTTACACCAACAAATAATCATCCAATGAATTCTAATTTTGATAGCTCCTAATTAAGTCCGTAAAACATTGATCAAAGAGGAAAAAATACTCATCGAAAACGAATGGTTGAACTAAATTCACCATCACAAAATTAGATTCATGCCCAACCATATACAAGAAAAGCTAGTCAACTGACTCTCGAATCTAATAGAAGTGGAACTACATAAGGAGGTGGCTAGTAAAGTTTTCTAAATGTCAATATGAATCAGCAATCAATATTTAACAACAATAATAGCATTAATGTGTAATCTTATAACATTGCTTCAATTGATCAAATTGTAGAGACTATTTACGATTCACTGGACAAACTTAAATCATATCTAATGATATCAATAAAAGATTAAGAAAGTAGGTTGTCTAAAGAATACGAGGAAAAGTTTGATAAAATTCACCAGAGGCTACTAGAATTGGAAAAAAATTAATCTATTGCTGGAAATGCATAATAAAATGTTATTTCCCCTTTGAAGAGTTCAATGAGATCATTTGATCATATGCTAAATGACAGAGGAATAGTATAACAGCATTCTGATGTTAAAATTCACTCCAATAAATTTGTCTATCCCTCAATGATAACTGTAAAATCAGGATAAACTGAGCTATCCTAGCTGAGAGGTATGTAAAATACAACCCATTAGACAACTAATGCTAGCTGTAGTGCTATAACTAACGCTAAGTATAATAACATGAGTCCGAAAGATGGCTCTGCAAGTTGACTAAACAATGTATCTCTCAATAAGTCTCAATCTAAATCATAATCATAGCAAAGGAAAAGCTAAAAATCTCCTGACTAAAAGTCTTCTTCCTATTACAACATTAAGAAAAATCAACCGAAAGTTGGAGAAAGATATCTTAAAAGTATTCAAAGAAAGTAGTATCTTAAATAAAATTAGCATCTTAGCAAATTTACCCTAGACTGCAGAGATCCCTAAATGAATAGTACAAATAATTAGATTCCAGTTGACTCTAGAATGAGACAAAATGTATTTTCCCCAAATAAGCCTCCTTAATAGCTGAAAATATCAGATTATTAATTAGACGCTTGTAAAAAAATAGAAGAATCAGAAAAAGATTAAAGGTAATTACATCAAGTTAGTAGAAAGTCATTGGATAAGCATGACATATCAAAGACGAGTCTAAATTTAACTATGGATAAGTCAAGACGAATAACCAATATGTCAAGTAAAGATAGAAAAAGTATAGGGTCATAAAACAATAATGATTCGCGAAACCTATAATCATCAAAACATTATTAAAGTGTGGAAAATGTAGACATGTAAAATTAATTATAGGTATTAGCAAGTAGTCTTAGTCAAGAGGTTCTACAATAAAGTGAAATTTATCTCACCAATATTACGGGTAGACTAAACAATAGAATTTCCCCAGCAAATATGGACAATCTATTGCCTGTTAGCATCTAGCCCAAGTCAAAGTTTTAACTTGAAACAAACGCATTCTAATAACCATTAAAAACTATCGTATCAAGAATTGGACCATCTCCAATGCCAAATGTTTCAGAGTACAATTGCAATTCTCCTATATAATCTAAGCAACTGCCAGGAAATGATTCAACAGTAATAAATAAGCCTGAGTATTCTGAGTTTATGGAAAGTAATAATACATCTAGGATACTCACCAGTTTAGAGTAAAAGAGGTAGAGTTAAGAAACCTATAGAAACAAAAAGCTTTCAACAGGTCTTGAAATATTAAGGGATAAATATCTAAATACCAATTTAAAATCTCCTTCAGAAGTATCTAATGGTGATCACCAGTAGAAATAGAACCCAAGGCATATTAAAAATATCTCATCAAACTATCTTACTGCTCAAGAACAAATATCTGCAAATGAATAAAACAGCAACAACAACAAAATAATCCTAGATAATAAAAATATCATAGATTAGTTTGAAAATTACTTCGCTTCTTCTTAAGAGTAATTATGCGAAGCAGTTGAAATGGCCTCGTCACAACACACGCAAAGTCATGCGATTAATTAATAGAATCAAATAAAAAATTTCCTAAAAGATCTTCAACACGAGAATGAGGAAGTAAGCTAATCATTTTAGACGCCTGAGGGTGAACAAAAACAAAGGCGGAAATAAAATATACTCTAAGCTTATATTGATGCGGATCTAGATAGTGAAATATACAATAGTAATCAAAACGAATCCCATACTTTAAGTATACAGGCAATAAATATAGAATTAGATAATGTGAGTGAGGCTTAGTAAAGTAATATTGATGACTATGGAATATGAATATAATTTAATCCTTATTAAATGTAGGCATATCAATCATTTCAAATACAGATAATATGCATTATTAGCTATTTATATTTTCCTGTGCTCTAATTCTTGTATTATTTATTGCCTATGGGGTTTTGGGGTTTTGGGGTTTTGGGG